AGCACCTGCTCCTCACTGGGACACCCCTCCCACCTCTGTGACCTCGCAGTCTCTGAGTAACCTTGGGAGAGGCCTGGCCTCACAGTGGCCCTCCCCATCTCTGAAACTGCACCTCCCAGACTCCTGGGAAGGCCCAGCAGGAGCTGTGTCACACAGAAGTGGATAGGAGAAGCCAGGTGGTCCCGTCTGTCTTGAAGGTATGAGAAGAGGGTGCCAAGACAGGGGCGCAAGCTTTCATGCTGTGAGCCTTTCAGGGAAGTGCCCACCTGTTTTAAGGATGGAGGGAATATCACTTCAGTCCCTTAGGAAAGTGTCAGAGGACTTGGGACAGGATTCTAAGCCCAGGAGACCCAGGGTGGGACTTTGGGAGAGGAGGGAGAGCTGCAGTGAAGGGGCTGGGGAGAGATTGTCATTGTGTCGTAGTGACTTCCCCATTACTGAAGGGAATCCAGAACCAGGTGAAAAGAAAAAGAACTAGGTACCCCGAGGTACCGGTTCACTTCATTTTGTATTTAGGTGTGTTTTTTGCTTTTCTCCTAACAAAATCAATGTAGCCGTTTATAAAGGGGTAGGGCGAGATCTCCCCTCCCTTTTCCCTTCCCGACGCCTCCCCCAAAGAGAACCGCAGACCTGATGGCGCCAGGTGTCATTGCAGGCCTCTGTCCATATGTTTATACGGCGTTGTACAGGAGCCCTGGTGGAGGAGAGGGTTACAAGTTAGGCTACGAACCCGAGGTCAGCCGTTAACCACCGGCTACTCCGAGGGAAAGTGACCAGGCTTTCCATTCCCGTAAAGATTGACAGTCTCGGAAACCCACAGGGGCAGTTCTGCTGTGTCTTGCAGGGTCGCTAGGAACGCACTGGTGGCAGGAGCTTGGTGAGTTTTTGGTGCTCTGTTGTGCAGAGTGTATAGAGGGCTTGCTGGTTTCCAAATGGGATAGTGCTGCCCATCCCGCTCCAAACCCTGCTTTTTCATGGTGTCTGTGTGGTTACGCCTTGGGCAGCTAACTCTGAGGACAGCAGTTTGAAACCACCAGCCGCTCCTGGGGAGAAAGATGAAGCTTTCTACATCCCATAAAGAGTCACGGTTTGGAAAAACGCCAAGGGGCAGTTCTACTCTGTCCTCAAAAGCTCACTATGAGTCACAATTGACTGATGGCAGGGAGTTTGATTTTGATTGTGTGTGTGTGTCACCAAGGTAACATAGTGGGGTATGCATTGGGCTGCCAACCCTGAGGGGTCAGCAGCACGAGCCCCCCCAGCCGCTCCTCAGGAGAAAGAGGAGGCTTTCTGCCCCTGTGAAAACTTGGAACCCCAAAGAGGCAGTTCCGTTCTGTTGTCTAGGGCTGCTAGGAGCCAAATGGACTCGACGACAGGTGACCCTTTGATGAGGGAGGTCATAGGGCTTGGACTCATGTGTTGTGATGGCTGGGTAGCATCCAGTGCAGAGCTGTGGCTTCCTGTGGCTAGCCATCAATCTGATGAAGAACAAAGGAGCCCTGGTGGCACCGTAGCTAAAGTGTCAGGCTGCGAACCCAAAGGTCGGTGGTTTGACTCCATCGGCCTCTCTGGTTGTAGAAAGAGCGCAGAATGGCTCACTGCAGAGGCGTGGGGGGCTGTTATTGTTTGATGAGCATTTAGTGTGTGTCCAGTGCTACAAATAATGAAGCTGAATGTAACAACCTGTGCTCTCAAGGCAGGAGCAAGAGAGCCTTCCCAACTTCCGTAGTCACCATTTCAGAAACCCACAGGGACAGTCCTGTAAGGTTGCCAGGCCTGGATGGCAGTGAGTTTGGGTTTCGGTTTTAATGCTCCCGTGCAAAGATGGTGGCGGCATCGTGGGTTGAGTATTGGGCTGCTTACCGCAAAGTCAGCCGTTCAAACCCACCCGGTTCACAGGAGGCTTCCCGCTCCCATGAAGACGTTAGGCCTGGGAAAGCCACAGGAGCAGCGCTTGCCGGTTGTGTAACAGCTGAATGTAACAGCTATGGTTGCTATGGGTCAGAATTACCCACAATGGCAGTGAGGACCCACCCATGCCAAGAAGCCGCAATGGTGTTGTTGGGTGACTGCAAACCCACCTGTCTTCCCATGGGAGAAAGATGAGGCTGGCTGCTCCCCGGGAACCCAATGTAGGCTTCCTATGAGTCAGTATCCACTCGACGGCAGTGTACTTGACTTTTTGGTTTATGCGTCCGGGCTAGCGTTTCCCTCGATCTGTGATTCTCAAACAGGAGCAGTTTTGCCCCCAGGGGACTTTTAGCCCCTTCTGGTAACACTTCTGATTGTGACTTGGGTGAGGCAGGGCGGGGTGATACTGGCATTGAGTGGGAGACACCAGGGAGGCTGCCAAACGCAGTGATGCACAGGACAGCTACACAGCGAGCGACCATTCGGCCCACGGTCAGTCATGGCCCAGAGAAGCCCTGATCTTGGTGACAAGGCTCCAAGGCCTTTTGAAAATAAATATCCATGAAAAAGCCCCCTTGCTCCACACGTGATGTGTGGCTGGTGATAGATTGGCCCAGTGGCTCAAACACAACAGTTGTGAAGCTGATGTAGAACCAGGCAGTGTTCCACTCACCTAGTGTGGTAGTTACATCATCTGTTGTCAATTTGAG